TTTAAAGATTTTACAATTAAGCCCCAAAACAATATTTTTTCTCAAATAAGTCCCCAACCAAATGCTAAAATACCCCAAAATTTTGGGATATTACAATTCACTTTTGCATTCAAATTGCAATAACAAATCATAGCTTGAATCATTGAAAATCATTGAGAATTGAGAAAGGCTGCAAAATGCCATACAACTATACAAGAAATACACTCTCAAAAGAGAAACAATAAAAATTAATAACAATAAAATGTATTTGGGACTTATCAAATTAAAAACCAATTTACCTATCAGACTTGAAACAAAACTCCATCAAACAATCCAAAAGAAACAAGAAAATAGTGCACTCAACATGAACATATTCACTTCCAACAAAACATGAAAACTAGTTACATAATGTCAAAAAATAAAACATAAGAAATTTAGAGGTTATAAAAAAAACAATTAGAATTTTAGACCAAAAAATTCAACTTTTTTTGACAACTTAATAGAAGGTTAAATACCCTTTTTGGTCCCTTTACTATTGAAAAAACTCCTTTTTGGTCCTTATACTGAAAAAATCCTCTTTTTAGTCCCTAAATTTTAAAATCCGGTCCCTTTTTGTTTACTCCATTAATTTTTGTTCATGTGGCATGTTATCTTAACAGCAACATCCAACATGGACATTCCACCCTATAAAGACGCTTACTTGGACTCAATGACTCGACTTAATGACTCTCCGTGCAAGAACAAACCCTAATCAATGTTTCTAGTTCCCTCTTCAGCTATCATCTTCTTTCTTTCAAAATTATTGTTTCTTGTTTATAATTAATCTTTTATATATGAGATTGGTCAAGATATAATCAACAATTCATAAGAATATCTTCATTGCTAAAAATAAAAATTAATTACTAATTAAAATAATTTATCAATACTTTAAACATTAATTTCTCCTTTGCAAAACAAATCCTTCACTTTACTCATAGCAACATGAACTCAACAACATCAACCTATTACCTGCAATTTTAAACCTAGATATCAAACCCAAATATTGAACACATTTGAACATGAAATTTTAGTTTCATTTAGCTCATTTATGGAAGATAGATACATTAAAAATTAAAAAAAAAAAAAAGAAACAAAAAAGAGGGTCGAAGGAACCCAGAAACTGGGTTCTTTGAGGAACCCAAAAACTAAGTTCTTTAAAGAACCCAGAAACTGGGTTCTTTGAGGACCTAGAAACGGGTTCCTCGAGGAACCCAGAAATAGGTTCCTCACAGAACCTAGTAATTGGGTTCTTTGAAGAACCTAGAAACTGGGTTCCTCGACCCAAGATGATGAAGACTTGAAGAGGATGGTGGATGCTGAGGATGAGAATGAGGAGGATAAGGATGAGGAGAAAGAAGAAGATGAAAAAATTAAAATTAATTTTGTTTAAATTCTTTTTATTCATAGATTAAGAAGTAAAATTTTTTATTTTTACATGTGGCATTAAAATATTCAGGTGAAATGTCCATGTAATTTTCATATCATTTATAATATTATTAATATAAAAAATAATCAATTAATTCCATTAATTAATGTGACACATCAGTAAAAATTTAACGGAGGGATCGAAAAGGGATCAGATTTTAAAATTTAGGGATTAAAAAGGGATATTTTTAGTACAAGGACCAACAAAGAGGTTTTTTCAATAGTAAAGTGATTAAAAAAGGTATTTAACCCTTAATAGAATGCATAAACCCATAATATCTCTACAGCATCAATCCCATTAATTTCAACAAACCCATCTTAATTTACAAAATCTCTACCTTAAAACAGAAAAAAAAAAGAAGAAAAAAAAAGGGATCTTTAAACAGCAAAACACAACGACTACATTAAATAAGTAAAACCAATTGAAAAAAAGAAACCAATAATAGAGTACTAATTGGAATTAGAAATATCATATATTTCATCAAGTACCTACATTGCATCACATTATCACAAGCTATTTCTAAAGTACAAACTTTGCTATTTAAACACTAAAACAAATTAGAGTAGTAACAAAGTACTAAGCCTAAGTTGTAACATAAACATTAGCTAAACTAGTCAACTATTGCTACCAACTAGCAACTGACTTAAGTTTAGAAAATCACCATTCTTCCTTAACACAAGTTGCATGTTATGTCCAATTGCCATCTCTCAATAACTTTGAAACTATCCAAAAGAATGCTTGTCTATCCAAAAGAAAGTCTATTTGTCCAAAAGAAATCTACCTATCCAAACAAAACCTGTTTGTCCAAAAGAAAACTTATCTAGCCAATACCACATGACAAAAACACATGTTATACACAATGTAGGCCACAAGCCACAACATCATTTGATTTTAAGGTAACAAAAAAACACTTGTACACTTGTATCTAGGACAATTAGCAAAAATAAAAATTAGTTAGTTGAAATTATAAATAAACAAAAGAATGACTGAAAAAGATTACCTCAATGCTAACTTAATTACTTAATTGCATTAAGTTAACATAATTTAAAATTGTTTAGGAATTTACCTTGTACCTTACCATTTATAAATTCACCATTCATTCAAGAATGGTGGAATCCAAATGAAGCTTATCAAACTCTGTAAAATCAATTTAAAAAAAAAAATAGTTTCATGGTTAACATTTTCTCAATTGCATAATTAAATATATAATTGAGTTGAAAAGAAACATTTTGCATTCAATATATTACCTTTCTCTAAACTGTCCAATTTGTCCAAATCCTCCTCCATATTAGAAATAGCCTTATCTTTCAACCAATCTTGTGCACAAATGAGAGCTTGTGCCATTCTTGGTGTCAATGATGATTGAAAAGCATCAAGAATCCGATCTCCAATACTGAATGCTAATTCATAAGCAACAGTAGATATTGGAACTACCAAGACATCTCTTGCCATGGTTGCTACCACTAGAAATCTATACTCATTCATCTTCCACCACTGAAGAACATCAATATCTTCATTCTCATCCTTGAGATCTCTTGCCAAGTTGTCACGCCCCAAACTCAAATTCGAGGCACGACAGACGCCGTGCACTCGCGAGATGAGTCCCACAAATGCACAAGGCTCAGAACTTAATCATATCATACTTTGATACCATCAAAATCTGAAGATCAAATTATAAAATCTATGTTCAATTACAATATGGCTAGCCTTCTAACTCATCACTTCCCGTGGTTTCCCCGTCCTCGGTTTCACTTCCTGAAATGGTGGACAAGGAAAACTATGAGATAAACTCAATAAGTAAATATGGAGTGCCCATTATTAAAATTATAGCATGCCAACATGTGCAATCATGCAAAACGGATACAGTACGGGAACGAAATAGACGTCTCCTCTATAGGTCATGGCCAGCGTCTAACACCCACTGGCAGGCGCACTGTTTGCTAGTGTATAATCCCCACAAGCAGGGTCACTGTTTGCTGGTGTAAAATCCCCACAAGCAAGGTCACTGTTTGCTGGTGTATAACCCCCACAAGCAGGGTCACTGACGAACCGGTGCTATCAATAACATGTCGACA